CATTGACAGGAGAGAAGGAATCAACAAAACAGTGTTTCTCAAGTAGGCTAGGTTTGTTTGCAAGGTTGTCATCAGTAGTTGTATTTTTTTAATAAATGGAATTGCCTAAGACATGCACACCACCAATATTTTTGTAGTATTATCTCAAAAGCATCCAAGAGCTTAATGCTCACTTAATGCCACATTCACTTGGGGGAAGTTTTTGTTGCTTCAGTTGGAAGCTGCAAGAAGACTCCTTCCACTGCCTTTTTAAAAACTCAAGTGAAGTTTGGCAGTTGAATGAAATAAGGGACAAACTCCTTTGAGTGTTTCCCTCATATATATGAACTTTAAGATTGCAGCCAATGAATGCTTAGAGTCATGTACCCTTGTGACAATCACTGACTTTCATGAGCTTGGCCATAAAGAAGAGAGTTGCTGGCTGATTAGGAAAAATAAACTTGGCTTGATTTGGACTTCAACAGTAGCTTACTCTTAAGAAATCAGGAGATACCTAAAAGGTTCAATGGTATCAATGTCAGGTGATAAAGGAGCAGGAATAAATTATATACGAAGAATGATGCCTGTCTTGCTAACCCTTATTATAATAACCTGATCATATGCTGTATGATGTTTTCAGCTACCCAAGAGAATCTTAACCATCAATTAGAGTTTCAGTATTATCAGGAGCTCTCTAGATGCAGATATTCCATGTTGTATCGCCAGTTCCCCTTTTGTGTTCAGCTCTATTACAATTTATTGTCTTCCTTTTAATGCTGCTTCCTCTTTCTTTACATGCTTCAACTCATTTCTCTGACTTGGCTGAGCCTAGGAAAGTATCTGTGCATTTTCAGGGTGTGAGGTACTGCTGGGGTTCACAAATGGAATGGTCAAGACATGGTGATTCATTCTGGGGATTTAAGGGGCAGTTGCCACAGCCAAAGTTTATCTTCCTTCTTCCCTCCTCTTCTTTCAAAAGTCGAAGTCTTTGGGTTGGGCACTGAATTGCAGTCGGTTTGGATACATTTCCTGCAGGCTTTAGATCTTAACTGCAAATTGCTTTTGCAACTGCTGATCTTTAAGATGTCATTCTATTGAGAGAGGGCTAGTCATACAGTTTTTAAAATGTGCTCATTAACCAGTCAAACTTCTGAAGCCTGAGAATGTTGCCATATTACCAGTAGGACTCTGATGTCTTTTACATTTTGCCTAGAAGACAAAAACATCAAGTACAGCTTCTCTTATCACTTTACCAGTGAAGCCACTCCATCTTGTCCTTGGCTGCAGGAAGCAAAATATAGTGAACCAGCCTTGTCACCCCCTCCCCAACCCACCCTTGTCTCGCAAGGCGATCCCATTGTGAAAGAGCTATGCTGATGCCTTCTTGTTTCTGATATTATTTTTGCATTGTTCCTCTGTTTTGAGTCAATATCTCAACTCTCTTTTGCTGTTTACCAAATGACAGGCACCTGCTTAGCCAACACCTGAACTAATAACCTGAGAATAGCTTTTGCATCAAAGCCACTACACAAGTAGAGAGTTAGAACTGCAGCAAAACTCAGGCTAATTAGAGTTAGTATGCTGTTGCAGGTCAGATGTTGGAACAAAAAACAGGGGACAATTTTGACCACATTCTTGGCCAGATTGTGAGAACCATGGGACCTTTGGCATCTTTCCACAAGGCAACAATTCCTCAAATGCCCAACCTTTGGGGGGGGAGGGTTATATCTACTGAGCAAGGTCATTATATCTGGAGTGGGGAATCTTTTTCCTGTCAAGCACAACCTTCTCTCAGAGATAATCCCATTGAGGCCTATTTGATAAGTTGAGTCAAAGCAAGCAGTGGATGGGCCAAAGACAAACATAAGGATATCTTTCCTATCTCCCTTCCTCCTTTTCATCCCTTCTCTGTTCCTTCCTACACAACAGGGTGCAGGGAAGGAATAGGGTGGACCTTATCAAAGGGCTGAACTGATCTCTTTGCATCGGGAATCAGAGATTAGGTTGAGAGTTGCAGATTTTCCTGCATTAGTATCCCTTTTCTCTCAAACAGCTGTGTGTTACAGATGAGCAGGACAAACAGAACACCTCTCACATGCAAACATTTCACAACATGTCCTAATCACTGCCAGGAGAAACCATTTTGGGGCTGGCTATCACTGTCTTCGGACAGACATGAATCCTCATTTTCTCATTAAAACCCTGGGAAACAAATTGTCCTGCTTGGCAACTGGCCTTGAAAAAAGTCCCCTGAATCACAAGAGACATGATAGGACTGCGGAGTGCTTCATCTCCAAAAGGTGCTTTGGAGTGTGCAAAATACAAGACCGCATGCCTCTTTCCCAGGAATGCATTTCAAAGCAGTTTTTTTGGTCAAATTTGAAGCACCACAGAATCCTAAGAAGCATTTTTAAAAAGTTCAATTACTGCAGAAGGCAGAGGAGAGTTATTGGAATCCCACAGATAAGAGGGTCTGCAGAGTGCATTTAGACCACAGGAACCCTCCTTGTCCCCAAGTTAGAGCCAAGGGGAAGCAGAGGTCTTCACTAAAGGTGTGAGAGGCAGGTTTGGGCTTCGCAAAGGAAAATAGTAATTTCTGAAGGGAAGTATGAACTAATCAGAAAGGATTCTTGTTCTGGAGTACTCTTCTGTAGATAATCTATATTTAGGCAACTCTTTCAAGGATAAATATAGACTTAAAAGTATACACAGCAGATGTGGGTGTGGAAAATGGCTTTAGAAAAACTGCTGTAAGATCTCTGAAGGAGGGAAAACAATTGTGTTTGCTTTGCTTTATCATGCCCGATGCAACAGAAGCAGACAAGTTGATATTATGCCATTGGAGTAGGTAGGTGGCAGCTTAAATGCAGATGTTGAAACTTTGTCCATTAAGAGAACGTTCTGCAATAACTGAGACAGAAATTCAGACCTTCAGAGATGGTTTTGGACATGTTTGGGTATTTTAACATTTTAAAATGTTAACATATGTTAACATTTTGAAATGTTAACATATCTGTAAACATTTTAAATCACTGGTCTGAAATGCTCACCTTCATGTAGGCTGCAGTGTAGAGATGGGCTGGACTCAGGTTAAATCATGGCTCGTTTAACCATGAATGATTGAATAAGCCAGAACTTATTCAATGGGTTCAAACAATCTGCCAATTCTAAATCAACAGACTACTTGGCTTAATAGGTGAATAATGTCCTGTGAAAGTGGCACCTTGTATCCCAGATGATTTCCTGGTCTGTACAGGTCAGGTCCCTCATGCTACGACTGCAGTGGGTGGATTTTGCTATTCTGCCATGTTGCCTCTAAAAGCAGGGGGTGGGGGTAGGGTTTGCTGTGGGGATGAATATCAGCCATTCTTACTTAGGGGAAAAGAGAAAAAATGTGTTTGGAGATAACATCTGAAAAGATGGTCAAGTTTTGCCTGTTCTTTCTTGTCACTCAGAATCTAAATGTCCATGGGGAGGGGGCAAGTGATGAAACGTGCACCGTGACACTGCTAATATATACTTGCCAGCATTATCATGACACACACAAATAAAGGGCAGAACTTGTATTGGGACATCCTGATGCACGTTTCATCATTTTGGCCTCATCATGGCTGGCTGCAGATATCTGTGACTCAGACTGCAGATGTTAACTTTGTCCCACCATTCACACTGGAAGCCACTGAAGACAGAAGCAATTATTTTCTGTACAGCATAGTCTTTTCATCCAGCTGAACTAGGGGGTATGAAATCTGAATGTCACAAGAACAGAAAGTAACAGTCATATATATTACCTAGTTAAAACTGATCTATGTTATGGTTGAAAGAGCTAGAGGTGAGAGAACATGTGCCTTTCCCCCATTCTCTGTCATTCTCCCACTACAATCCTTCAGATGTTAACTGAACTACAATTGCCAGCAGCCCCACCCAACATAGCTCGCAACATGTGAAGGTTCCATTACTTAGGTGTTTGCTGAGGTTTCTCTAACAGGGCTGATGTCCTTAGTATACGCCTTACCTTTTTCAATATAAACGAATGGCTTCTTAACTCTTGGTGACAATATAGCTGTTAAAATGTTGGAACACAACTTGCAGACATGTGACCAAAACAGATTCTAAACAGTTGGCTGGACTGAGACAAGAGGATCAAGAAAAGTCTTTAGCATTTGATGTCCCTATTATAACCAAAAATGTTCCATATACCTAGAGGTAAGCCCAACTGAACAGAGAGAGAACCACCGGATAGATAGATAGATAGATAGATAGATAGATAGATAGATAGATAGATAGATAGATAG